TGTAGTGTTTGTTGTAAGTTCTTTAGGGAGTATTTGTTCCCCTTTTCTTTTTGTTTACTTTTCTTCACCCACCCCTGCCTCCCTCCCTGCCTTTATTTTCTTTGTTGCTTTTTACTTTTGGTTGTGAGCCTAGCCTTCAAAAGCGCAGCCATCTCTCTAGCCCTCTTGGTGTTTGATGAGGTCTTACTCTTCCAGTTCGGGCTCTCTTCTGGGATTCTCAGTCCTGCTTCAGTCTCCCACACTGCTCAGGTTATAGGTGCTTGGCATCATGCCTAGCTATAACATGCCTCTCTGTGTGTGAGAAGTCATTCTTAGAGCTTGCTGGGTTTCCTAGTGGAGATGACCCTTGTCGGTTCTGAGCAGGCTGCCTTCTCTGTCACATAGAAATAATACCTTTCTCCCTGTTTCTACTGGATGGCTTTTTTCCACTTACCCAAGTTCTGAAAAACAGTTTACAGGACGTGAGGTCTTCTCTCCAGCACTTCTCATGTTTGCCATCAGCTACCGTCAATTAACCTCAGTCCAGAGGGTTCATGGCTTTGTCACAGCCTGTCTTTAGTCACTTGTTTATAAGATCTTGGTCTCTAGACTCCCAAGGCTTGGCTTGGCTACACATTTTAGGGTTCTAACAAGTGTGGTATTTCCTTAGAATTGACTCTGGGATTCTCTAACCCTAGTTAGTGTCTGCCCTAGTTGATGGTGTGAGCCAGGGAATAGTAGATAAAGGGAATGAGGAGAGACAGGGTTTCTCTGCTTAGCACTGGGCTGGCTATCCTGGAACTCACTCTGTAGACCAGGCTGACTATCCTGGAACTCACTCTGTAGACCAGGCTGGCCTTGAACTCAGAGACCCACCTACCTCTTCCTCCTGCTCCTGAGTACTGGGATTAAAGGTGTGTGCCCCCCATTCCGGGCTCTGTTTTTGACTTCTAATCAAGGCTGTGTGTGATTGCTGTGGTGGCCAGACCCCCATCCTGTAGACACTGGACAAGAGACGCTAAGATCAGCCAGAGCTGGTGTGTATGCCTGAGGTACAGGAGGCTTGTTTTCCTCAGGGTAATTTTAGTGATTTAGAAACTGAAGAAAAGCATCATCTGTAGCCAAAGGGGAGGAAGTAGCAGATTTCCTGAACCTTCAGATCTGAGAGGAGCCCATGGGCAGCATTTCCATACAAAGCTCAGATTTGAGCTCGAGTGCATTTGTGATCATGCCAGACCTGTAGTGCTGGAGTACATGTGTGCCATGTTCCAACTGCCTGTGCTTACCCTTTTCATTTGTGTGTGTATTTGAGTGTGTGCTTGTTCCTGTGGGGTTGTGCATTGGCCTGTGGAGGCCAGAGGCTGACATGGCTGTCTCTCTTGGGTCACTTTTCACCTTATCTTCTGATAAGGCCTCTGACTGAGCCTGACCTCATTCATTGATTCAGGTCACTGTCAGGCCCGTGACCTTCAGGGATCCACCATCAGGTCCCTCCCTTCCCCCACCTAGGTCAAGGGTTACAGGAGTTCCACCTTCCGCCTGGTTTTTACCTGGGTCTGGTGATCTGAACTCAGTTCCTTGTGGTTGTGTGGCCAGCACTTGACCTGCTGAGCCACCTCCCCTGCCCTTTATCTTAGATGAGGTCATGCACCTGAAAGCAACTGACACAGTTCTCTGTATAATTTCAAGCATTTCTCTGAATTACAAAAACGCTGTGTAAGGCCAACATGGTGGCTCATACCTGTAATCCCAGCGTTGTGAGCTTGAGGCAGGGGGACTGCCACAACTTTGAATCTATCCTGGGCCACAGAGTGAAACCTTTTCCTAGAGAGCTAGCTGCAGTGCCAGTGGTTTTTCCTGCCCAGCCTCACATTTGTAGGACTTATGTTGAAGGAGGCCAGCTCAGTTGGATTGTCCTCTGTAGGCGGTAGTGTGCATCCCACCCCCATTGTAATAAAAAAACAAAAGCAGGTTCAGCTGGGAAGGGAGTTTTTCTTGTAAGCTTGGTGACTAAATCCAGTCCCTGGGCTTGGTGGTGGTGGCAGTGCATGGACGGCCTCCCAGCTCTTGGGAGGCAGAGGCAGGAGAATCTCCATGAGTTTGAGGCCAGCCTGGTCTACAGAATGAGTTCTAGGACAGCCAGGGCTACACAGAGAAACCCTGTCTTGGGGGGGAAAAAAAAGAGAGAGAGAGAGACAGAGAGGGAAAAAAAAATCCATCCTCAGGAACCCATGTAAAAGTGCAAGGAGAAAATTCATCCCATAAAATTGTCCCCAGACTTCTACATGACAAGGGTATTACACATGCCCACATGTGCACATCATGCACACACATACATACATACATACATACAATCATAATACATTAAAAAATTTTTTTTTGTGATGACATCTGCTTTTTTTTTTTTTAAGGTTTCAAAAAGGCTTCCATAAACTTGTATTTAACCCCAAATATTCTTAGCATATATACTCTAAAATAGAACCTTAGTCATCTGGATCTTAATATTTTGTTATTCCATGTTTTTCCTTTTATCAGTATTTTTTAAAAAGAGATTTATTTACTTATTTACTTACAACGTATACAGTGTTCTACCTGCATGCATCCTTGAAGGCTGGAAGAGGGCACCAAATATCATTACAGATGGTTGTGAGCCATCATGTGGTTGCTGGGGATCAACTCACAAGACCTCTGGAAGAGAAGCTAGTGTTCTTTAACCACTGAGCCATCTCTCCAGCCCTCCTTTTTATCAGTATTTTAAGGAGAGAAGGAAAAAGTCTCCCATAGTAGTCTTCTTGTTGAGTACTTGTTAAAAGCATCTAATGTTGAAAAGCAGAGGGGTTCTGCTAGCAGCACATTGTGGCAGCAGGGGCAGTAGCCTGGGTTCTGGATTTCCTCTGTGCTTGCTTTGAATTTATTGCCTGATCATTCCTGTGGCTGAGTTCCTTCCCCTAGCCTCTGGCAGAGCCCAGCTTGTCAGAATCAAACTCATCACTCACACTGGCTCTGTGTGAGCCGAAGGCCTGTAAGGTAGATCAGCTGTTATATAACAGCTTTCAGAGAAGAAACAAGGCCGGGTCTCTGGCTAAAACTGGGGTAGTGGATGTTTTATTCATCCCTGACAAGGGTGTGGTGTTAGACTTGAAGTTTCTGTTTTAGGGCAGAGGTAGGTTGCTGGGGCACTTGCCTGTTAGTGGTATAAGTGTAAATTAAACTTTGTGAAATACTACTTTTCAAAGAGGAATTTTTTTTTTTTTTGGAGACAGGGTTCTCTGTGCAGCTCTGGCTGTCCGGTAGCTAACATTGTAGATCGGGCTGGTCTTGAACTCAGAGATACAGAATCTGCTTCTGCCTCAGAGTGCTGGGTTTAGAGGTGTGGCCTAGCTGGTAATATTTTTGTGTTTGTTTTCATATTTGTACAGCTGTGGGGCTTCCAATTCTGAATGACGGTGCTGTGTTAGTTCATTAAGATATATAGATGTAGGGTCTAGTTAATTTGGGGGTGTGATGGTTTTTATTTTCGAGGTTTTTTTTTATGGAAAAGTTTAAGGCTATAGGATAACAATACAGTAAACTCCTTTCCACACACACATCCCTGGATGGCAGAATATTTGAAGCATTTCTGTGTGCAGTTGATAAGTCTCCATGTGGTTACAGTCAGAAGTGAGGTGGAGGAGGGCATGGTGGCTTTCGCCTGTGATCTGGCACCTGGGAGGCTAAGGCAGGAAGACCAGTGCCAGATGGAGCTGGCCTAGGCTATGGAATGAGTCCTGGGCCAGCCCAGAGCAGCACACACACGGTGGGTGTCACACACGAGATGCGTGCATGCTGGAAGACGGTGGTGATCTGCTCTCTGGTCCTGGTACAGGATCAGGAAGTAGCACCAGGAGTCTGTCAGTGAGAGGAAAGCCAGCTTACTTAGTTTCTGTTAATAAAACACTATTCAGCTATTCAGGTCGGAGTCAGGGAAGCACTTAGTTTGTATATGAAATTACCCATTTGCATATTTTCTTGTAAAATCTAAATTGAGAAATTATTTTGTTTACAAGTGGTTGAGGGGATTACTGCTCTATCCTAGAGACAAATGTTATAAAGGAAAACAAATGACATTTCTTTGTGGTTTATGTGTTAGTCAACTAAGGGATATTTGATTTTACAGCCATCTCTATATTTGTTTTTTGAGACAGAATCTCTACGCAGCCCAGGCTGGCCTCCAACTCATGACCCCCTGTCTCTGCCTCCTGAGTGCTTGGGTTATAGGCTCACATTGCTATTCCCTACTTTTGAAGCCTTATCTATGTTTGCTTTTGCAATTTCCTCTTTTGACAGGCCATTTCTTAATATTGTGTCTACAGAAAAGTAGACCATGATCTGGCCATGGTGGGATTTATTTTTTTATGTCTGTAGTAGTTCATTCAGTTTTAGCCTGTGGGACAGGGAAAACTAGGACTAGGCAGATCAGTTCTGCTCACTGAAGTGATCTGGTCTGGGAAGCAGCTTGGTGGCTCCCCAGCAGCCTTCCAGCTGAGCTGTTGTATGTGGGTTCTCCAGAGAGCATGAACCTACAGGACGTTAGCATTACACGGTACACATGCACTAGAACTATAATTTACTTTCCGTTCACTCAGTACTATTACTAGCATAGCGGTTTCTTAGCCAAGGAAAATTCATTTTAGGGTGTAGAGCTTTTTGTTTCTTTTTTTTTTTCAAGACCAGATTTCTCTGTATCTTTGGAGCTTGTCCTGTAACTCACTCTGTAGACCAGGCTGGCCTCGAACTCACAGAGATCCACCTTTCTCTGCCTCTCAAGTGAGTGCTGGTACTAAAGGCGCACACCACCACCTGGCTAGGGTGTAGAGCTGGTTATCTCTTTTTTAAACATGAAACTGCTGAGCTAAGAGTCAAGGGAAGACCTTGCTGCTTGTTGAGGTAAAGTGCGGACTCTTTACAAGTGATAGGAAGAATTCTTTAATAGAGTCTTTAATAGAGTTTTCTTTCTTTCTTTCTCTGTTTCTTTTTTCTAGAATCACAAGAAGCGGATGAACAGTTTGTGGCAGAAGTAGTTGAAAAATGTCCATCTGATGCGTGTTCTAGATCTCCAGGAAAAGAAGCACCACAGGCGACCACTGATTCCCACTCAGTCAAGGGTGTCCAAGGAGAAACCCAACATGATGTTAGTAAGATCTCAGTAGTGAGGCCATTTTCAGTAGAAACCAGGAGTTCCACAGATGACCCAGCTGCTCTTGGAACAGAAGCAGCCTGTGGCTGTGTACCTGCACTCTCAGGCAAGGCTTTGCCCTCTGCTGCATCAGAAGCTACTCAGGACAAGCCAGTGACAGAAGGAGGCATGGGGATTACATTTGAGGCCTTTACAGAAGCTGGTCTGAAGATAGGAGAGCCTGTGGCCAGCAGAAGCAAGCTGAGAAGGCCCAAACCTATCTCTCTGAGGAATAAGACCGCTAGAGGCGATGCATCTGAAACGGAAATGATGATGGAGGGTTTGCCCCTCCCTAGGGCTTCCCTCCCTCTTGGCTCCCGAAGGAGTAGCCAAGAGCATGCATCCTAGTATGCTGAGAGGAGCCAGGGACCAGCAATCTCCCCTTAACCTGAAAGAAGCTGTGGACTCTCTCAGTTATGGCAGCAGTGGCTCAGGGTGTGAGCTGCAGGAGGGGTCCAGGAACTCTCCTGTCAAACTTGAATGTGATTTTACAGAAGGTGGGGAACATGCCGAGGCCAAGAATGACCTTCCAAGGAAGCCTCCTAACACACTGATGCCCAACATCCGGAAAGATGGCATCAGTCAGCCAGTAGATGTGGAACAGCCTGCAGACCCAAGAGTCCAAGACGCCTGTCTCCCTCAAACATCTCCTAAGCTAGATCCTAGTAAATGGGGTCACCCTAGCTTTAATTCCTCCGGGAGCTGCCCCAGTCTGCAGAGCTCTGCACCCCTCTCCTCCAAAGCCTCCTACCCCTTTGACCCGGATAACTTTGATGAGTCCATGGATCCCTTTAAGCCAAGCACAGCTTTGACAGGCAGCACCTTTCGATCCACTGCTGGTAATCATGTTAATGAAATCTTAGACTCACCCAAGAAGGCAAAGTCGCGTTTAATAACGTGAGTGACAGCGGGTGCTGGGTATGGTGCTCTGGTGTGTTCTTTGGGAGTTTGGCAGCTACTTCTGGTTTCTGTGAATTGCACTCATAAATGTTTGCGGTACAGTGGGGGGCACTGTACTCTGTAGTCTTTGCCCCTTTGCCTAACTAACTCTTCTGTGCATTTGGAAGCATCAGAGGTTTCCCTGTTGATTTCTGCCTTATCTTTGGATCCTTGACTTGTGTAGGTCACCCCCTCACCCCTATACTAAAAAAAAATTGTTTAAAGAAATTAAGTAAAGATTTGAGGTTTCCAGGAATCACATTGTACATAGAATTCAAGTGTCAGTGTTAACCACAATCTTTAGATTCCAAAATTATCTGTCTTAGGTCAGCGATGTCAGAAATAACCCAGAACAGTCTTATAGAATGGAAAGTTGTGATTTTTTTGTTGGTGGTAGTGATGAGAATTCTTGTTTCCTTGTGTATTTCTAGTTCATTAGTGAATTTCTGTAATGAGAGTATTCCAAATGACCAGTTAAATCTGGGTAGATTTATTGTGTGTTCCTTCTATCTCCTACTTTCTCCTGGGAAACAGGAATGAACTTTTATTTAGTTTGGGAGTTCCCAGAGTAATACTTCAGACCATATTCCCCATCAGCTTTTTAATTTTGATACAAGTTTACATGATCAGGAATTCAAGTTGAATAAAAAAATAGCATACCTGTTTATAACCCTAAGACATCTTGTTAAAATATTAGATGCAAGGGCCAGTGACTGGGAGAATAAAATACTGAAAGGAAATGTGTTTGTGGTTGTTGTTAGATTGGCTAGGGAAATTTGAGGTATTTTTCCTGAATTTATATCTGTGTACAACTTTCATGCCTGGGCTGCAGAGGACAGATGAGGGCATCAGGTTCCCTAGAACTGAAGTTACAGACAGCTGTGAGCTACCATCATGTGGGTGCTGGGAATTGAATCTGGGTCCTCTGGAAAAGCAGCCAGTGCTCTTAACTGCAGAACCATCTCTCCATTCTCAGGAAACAGGAAATATTCTTCAACTTTACTATGTCTTAACACCTGATTGTAAATTACTTTGGAAAGAAAAATATCCAGAGGGTTAAAGAGTAGAAATGCTAATTTCAAGGCCAAGGAAGTTAATCCATACTAGGAATCCGTTCTCCTGAGTATTGGTCGTATGTTTAAGGGAATAAAGAGACAGGAGTTGGAGTTTTAAGTCTGCTCTCAGGTTACATAGGCACAGTTAAATGGCTTTGAAAACTCCTACTGATTGTGCAGACTTCTCTTGACCTTTAGGGTTAGGTAGTTTTGTCTGGACAGCATTTGGAGTACATTCCAGGTGTGTTTCTGGTCTGGTACTTTGTCTCTAGATGCCTGCCACAGCCTTGGTCCGTAAGTGCCTTTCCAGCTGCAGGTTGAAGGCGTGAGGTGAGTGCATTTCCCTAAGAGGACACTGACTCTGTCCCTTGTATTTAGAACCAGGAAGTGCCTACTTTTGAGTACTGCTATCTTCACCTGGTGGCCTTTTCTACTGTTCCGTTTTTTCGGAATAAATGTATGATCTAATAGATCACACTGACTTAATGAAAAGATTTGTAACCGGTCAACACTCTTTAACTGTAAGAAAAGTGTCCTTGAGTTCTTGAGCCATGTTAGAACTTGGAGAGCAGAGTCCCTTCACTTGGAAAAGACTGAAGCATTGTGGGATTAACACCCACAGTGGACAGTTAGTTTTTGGGAACATTCAAAAAGATGTATTTAAATAGAGACAGGGCAATATGGTTAGAACATTGCAGAGCAAATAGTATAAATAATGTGAAATCGTTCTACATTCCCTTTGAAGCAGGGTCTCACTTTGTAACATTCAGGCTAGCCTCTAACTTTTGACCCTGCTGCCTTAGCCTGCCAAGTGCGAATTACAGACAGACATACTGCACCATGCTTGGCTCACTTTAAGTTTCTTAGTGACAATGATGGTGGAGTCAGTCAGGTGTCTTTCCAGCTGTGGTTTTGTTGTTGTTGTTGTTGTTGTTCAGGTGTTGCCTTTGACCTGGTCTTGCACAGTTAGAGGGAGCATGCTCAGTAGGGAAGTGTTGCTTCTGTGCTGTACACTTACTTATATGCAGGGAGGGGTTAACTTTTCATCTATAAATCTGAGCACAAAACATTTCTCAGTGTTTGTATTCTCTCTACTGTGTTAAAGCTGAGGTCTTGTTACCATTCATTTGCCACAGCTAACATTCGGGCATACGACTTTTTCTGTTTTAATATTGGCATTTTGTTTGTTTTAAAGCAAGGTCTCACTGTGTAGCCCTGGCTGGCTGGGAGCTGGCTTTGTAGGTGAGGATGGCCTTGAACTCCCACAGATCGGCCTGCCGAGTACTGGACTTAGAAGGCATGCACTACCATGCCGGGCTTGGGCATGATGTTTTAAATCTGTATCTCACATGATACCAAGAACTGTGCAACTTTGACATCTGCCAGACAAAAGATGAGTGCTCTAGTTTTCACATGATTCTTTTCCATCTGTGTGTCTCTTTCCTGTCTCTAATTCTGTTGATGCATCAGGACTACTGAGCAAGTGAAATTTCTCTGTTTTCTGTTGTAAGTACCTCTGCCGTAGGTTCTGTCTGTCCCCGGGACTCTGGGCAGTCTCCTCTCACCTCTGCCCGACTGCCCCGCGCGCCCCCCCCCCCCTCCCCCCCTGCCCCCTGCATGTTAGCTTCTGTTTGACCTTGTCATTATTTGGGCCTTCTGATAATGGTCTTGCATTCCATTTGCCACATCTTAGTCAGCTTAGCCTTGCAATCATCTGTACCCAAAGGAGTGGATACTGCTTTTTCCACCTCAGGTGCAAAAAGCGCGTGCCCCGGCTTACTTAGCATGTGTCATGTGGCACTTTGAACCAAAAGCTGGCTTGGCCCCAATCATATACAGCAATTGATTTGATGGCCTGTTATGCACTCACTGTTGGAAATAATTAGGGTTTGTTTTGCTTTGTTTTATTTTTGCTTTTGTTCTTTTGGTGGGATGAGGCCGCTGTCTCAGAACAGGTTATAAGTTTTCCCGAGTAAACTTAAGTCTGGTGACACTTAGAACAGAAGGTGAAGAAGACCATGAATTAATTGGTAACCTTGTACACTCTAGTACTTTATATACTTGTCTGTGTTTTCTCTTTTTTCATGATCGGAAAACAAATTGGAAGTACTTTTTTCTTTTGTTGGTCAGGATAATGTGGGTTTTTTCCTCCTGGATATTTTAAGTTGATTAAAACATAGGAGAATCTGTGATAGTCCTTTGATCATGAATTATGTACTAGACTAAAAATACGATGGCTGAGTTTTCTGCAATTCTGGGCATTGTACCCTACATGGTCTTTCCCCTCCTCTTTACTACCTAAGAATGGTAACTATTTGTCTCCGATACTTTCTCGTGCCCATAGATCCTTTCTGTAAGCGCCCAATCCTTGACTGACTGGCTCTGTCTTTGGAGATTGCTGTGGTTTTTAGTGCAATAAAGACTTTTCAAAGAATCTGGTCCAGCGTGGTAATTTTCTGATGACGTCAAAACCAAATGAGTAAAGATCACAACCAATGTCTCTAGCTGCTGAGGCTGTTCTTAGAGGTACTCAGAGTCTTGGAAAGGTTTTTTGTGGTGTGTGATTAAACATGTGGGGTTCAGAGTTGTGGTATCTGGCAATCCATAGAACCGAGTGAGCCTGGCCATGAGTCACTAGGATCCGCCGCATCGTCGCCATAGCTCTGCCATGCAAGTGTATGATCGTGTGGTGCCATGCGCTTTGGCTTCTGTGCTACAGCCTGTGCTCTGCTCCATCTCATACCTGCAGAGTTGTCATTGGGATTCCAAACTGGCTTGTCTGTTCCTCTCATTTCTAGGAGTGGCTGCAAGGTGAAGAAATACGAAACTCAGTCTCTTGATTTGGATACGTGTTCTCAGGTAAGTCTGTTCTGGTCTCCAGAATGGGTTTTGTCCTGTGGGGGGGTGTCTGAGGACTCAGACTTAAAGAAACTAGTTATTTGGTCCTTAGTGTCTCATACTCATCCAGAAAGGCCTGACAGGAAAGACAGCTCGGGACATAGGGAGATGGCTCAGTGGTTACTAGCACTGGCTGCTCCTCCCGAGGACCGGGGTTTGATTCCTAGCACCCACATGGCAGCTCACAGTTGTCGTAATTCCAGTTCCAGGGGATCTGACACCCTCATTCAGACATAGATGCAAACAAAACACTAATGCACTTGAAATAAAAATAAGTCATTGAAAAGGAAGAGAGAAAGAAGAAAGAAAAGACAGTCTCACACTCATCTTCCCTGGGGAGGGGAGGAGGGGCACATTCATTCTAATGATTCACCACAATGCCCCACTCTCCAGGTCACCGGTGCTGTGAAGTTTTAGAATCGGTTCTATAAAGGGTGTTGACTTGTAAGGCTCAGGTGGTTTCCCAATTTGTTGTCTTCAGTAGAATAGAGGACCTGAAAATAAGTCTGAAGAGAGCCTGGGCATGGAACATGCAAAAAAAGTTCAGACAGTTGAGAGACTCTTAATACAAAACTTCCTCCTCTTCATCTTGTTAATAGTTGGTAATAGATATTGCCATGGAATCCAGAAATTATATTGATACTGATTCTTGTTTCATTCTAGTGATTTATGCTATGCATATATGAATATATGGAGTAATTAGTGTACTTGAACTAAGAAAGGGGACTATATGCAAGAAAACTGAAACTCTTACCTCAGAGCTCTTGAAGTGCTTAAACTTTTCTGTTTAGATTAGAAAAGCACAACTTCTAAAATTTCAGGCCCAAACCACAGAACTGAAGTTCTGGAAGCAATGTTTCATGTTTGTAAGACTAAAGCTTTCTCTTAGTTTTGTAGCTGGACCTGTGGCAAATCTGAAATACCCTCATGCGTTCACAGCTGCATGCTCATTCTAGAAATGTCACTGGTTACCACCACTGCCCTTCTGAAGGACAATTGTCTTCTCTGTTGCATTTCCCAGGACGAAGGAGCCGTGATCTCGCAGATCTCAGACATTTCTAATAGGGACGGCCACGCTACCGATGAGGAGAAACTGGCGTCCACATCCTGCGGTCAGAAACCAGCGGGGGCAGAGGTGAAAGGTGAGGGGCGGGGGGGGGCACACTGTTCCGATGTTCCCGTGTCTACCATAAGCCTTGCATTTTCATCCTCGATACAGAAGTGCTGGAAAGGCCCTGGCAGTCACCCCAGGGACAGGTAGGGTGCAGATCTGTATGTACTTTGGTCTGCACTGGAAGAGAAACAGGCGTACTTAGCACAGTCCTAGGCACAGTGCCCAGGAGATGTCTATTGAATTTCTCCATGGTTTTGCGCCAGTACCGTTAATCTTAGAGTGGCCTGATATGTCCTACACATGGCATTTGGGGGTTGTCATGCTCCCTGTTTAGCTTCCAGACATTGTACCATGGAGGTCGTGGTGCTTGCCTGTGGCGGCCTGACTTTAGTGCTCTCCCTGTTGCTTGTCCTCCTCCTGCAGCTTGCTTTCCACCCTCCTTCAGAGGGTTATTCTGTCTCTGTGCGCTGGGAATTGAGCCCAGGGCTTGTGTGTGCCAGGCGAGCCCTCTACCTATCGCTGGGCTATATCCGCAACCCTTGGTTTTGTTGAGCCATTCAGGCCTTAAATTAAATTCAATATCTGTCAGTTGAATGTTAGAATTTCAGGCATATGTCATCATACCCACATTAAAGTAAGTTTTACATAATACAAGAACATTCTAAAGTGAAGGCCATATAAACAGAAAAGTATAGGATTGGTCTTGATTCTTTTTCTTTTTCTTTTTTCTTTTATTGTTTTGCACACTGAAACTAATTTATGTTTGTTTCATTTGTTTGTTTGAGACAGGGTCTAGCTCTATGGCCCTGGCTGACCTAGAACACTTAGGTAGATCAGACTGGCCTCAACTGTTTCGCAGTCCTCCAACCTGGGCTCTCAAATCCTGGGGTGGCAGGCTTATCCCACCATGCCCAGTGTCTTAGGTCTTTTTCTGTTGCCATGTCAAAACACCACAACCAAGGCAACATGTAAAAGAAAGCATTTAACTTTTAGGCTCAGGGTTCCAGAGGGTTAGAGCCCACGGCCATCATGGAAGCAGGCAGCAGGCAGGAGTGGCCCTGGAGAGGTAGCTGCGAGCTCACATGTTGAGACAGCAACCACAAGGCAGGGAGAGAAGGGGACTGAGTAGGAATGGCTGGAACTTGGAAACCTCAAGGAGCACTCCCAGTGACACCTCCTCCAACAAGGCCACACCCCCAACCCTTCCCTCCAGTTGGGATCCACGTATTCACTATATGAGCCTATGGGAGCCATTCTTTTGGCCTTAAGCAAATTACATACTTCCAATATAAAATGCACAGGATATACATTATGATCCCCAAAGAGAGGAATAGGAAAGTGAGGAAATGACAGATTTGGAATCTTGTAAGTCTGTCTGATGCCAGCAGTTTCCTGGCCACACTTCTGCTGAGCTGGTTCCACTCCCGGTCTGCAGGGCTCCTTGGCAAGCATCCCACACCTGAGGCATCTCCAGCATCCTGAGATCTGACTCTAAAGCAAGGACCATGTGCCTGTCGATGCCAAATTCTGCTGCTTGTGTAGAATGCACCTAGCCCCTCTTTGAATTACATCAGCGTAAGCTTTATTTGATGGTACCTGTCAGGAACATAATTTCTTTGGGTTTTTTTTTTTTCCCCCAGATTGCAGGGTTGGCTGGCTGGGTCTCACCTTGGGGCACCATTCCCTTCATTCCATTTCCCCTTCCCTCTTTTAGCACAAACCATGGCTCCAGCATTAAATTTCCTGGTGCTCTTTTTCTCCCCAATTTTGTATTTTGCCTCAGTTTCTCTTTTTTTCATTGTAGATCTGGGTAGAAGGGGTTGCTAATAACCATCAATATTAAGCTTGTCTTGAAATTTTCTCTGGCAGTGAAATTAATCCAAAACACCTAGTTTAGCCTCAGGCAGACTTTTGACAACAAAGGCAAAAACCTCCATGTTCTTTGCATAAATATCCCAAGAATACTCTCTAGGCCGCTAATATTGTTCCCCTCTGAACCTTCTTGAGCTGGGCCTCCGCAGGCCATGTTACTCCCAGCACTATTAGAATGGCTCCTACTAGAATGGCCTATCTAAGCCCCTTTTACAGTGTTCAGCTGTTTCCTAGTTCAAAGTCCCAGAGCCTTCTGCATCCCTCCAACCCCTGCATGGGCAGGTCTGTCAGCAAGAGCCCACACCCTCGTACCAGTTTCTGTCTTAGTTACTTTTCTATTGCTGTGACAGAGCACCATGACAGAAAGCGTTTAAGTTAGGGGCTCATGATTCCAGAGGATTGGAGTCCATGACATCATGACAGTGAACATGGCAGCAGGCAGAGGCAGCCAAGAGCTTACATTTTGACACAGTAACCACAGGGGAGGGGGGCACCAAAGAAGACCAAACCTAATCCTTCCCAGATAACAGTTCTACCAAGCACTCGAGTAGACGGGGAGCCGTTCTCATTCAGACCACCTCACTCAGCTTAAATAGTGCTCTGTAGACACAGGCTGGCCTCGAACTCACAAGAGTCCTGCCTGCCTCTACCTTCCAAGTTCTGGGATTAAAGGCATCTGCTACCAACACCTGACCAACAGATTAATTTTCATTATGTGAGTGGTATAGGTGTGTGCGTGTGAATACAGGTGCCTGTGGAGGCCAGAAGCATCCAGTCCCCCCTGGAGCTGTAGTTACCGGATGCTGTGAGCCTCATGATGTAGGTGCTAGGACTGAACTCAGGGTCCTGTGAGAGCAGTGTGTTTTCTTAACCTCTGAGCCATCTCTCCAGCTCTAACTGAAAGATGTTTTTGTGGACAGTCATAGCAGTGTGTTTAGAATGATCTAATGGTGGAGACCAGAGAACTCAGTGTAAGAAGACATGCTTGCTCATGTTCTTTGTGTCTTCGAGGATGAGAAGATGCTCCTCCTTTGGGCACTGAGGAAACATTTCCCGAATGAGCCCCATGGGACCTGTTTCAGGGGAGATGAGAGAATTCTTCTGCAGGTTACATCAGAGAGCAGAGGACCACTCTGCAGCTTCCGAGGTGCTGAGTTCATCTCTCCCTGGAGTAGTGTTCTGAACTGCATCATTGTAAATGGTGGTGTTTGATCCCTGTCCAGGGCTAAAACATGAAGTGACTCTCTCTTCTCACTGTGGTAGATGGAGATTGAACTTGAAATCCTTGCTAGTCAGGAGCCGAGGCTAACCTGGCTCAGCGCCTCTTGCCATAGATAGGGCTCTTATGTCACTCTGGAAGAAAAGACCCTCGGTAACGTCCTGTCCCGTGTCACAGTGTGCTCTTAAAGTAGAACCGTGGTCTCTGACAACAAGTGTTATTAAAGATTTGAGTCTTCCTAAGAAAATTTGATTTGTGAGATTTTATATTTAGAGATTTAACATCATGACCTGGAGGCTGTGGCTGGGATGTAAAACAAATAGATGAATAGAAAGAAAGAAAGCAGTCATGACCTGCCACTAACCCCAGAAAGCAGGTAGAAAGTCCAAACTGAGTAAGTTATCCCCCCACCCCTTGTTGTCATTTCTGCGCTGTGTCTGATGGCTGGGGTGGTCAGCGAATGGAGACGAGAGGTTTACACTAGATTGTGGTTTAAAAGTGAAACCGATTAGAAGAACTGTTGTGACGCTGACATTTGTGTTTTAAGTATTGAGTGAAATAGTATTTTAATACTGCAGCAAGGATGTTTTCAGCTTTATTTTTTGTTTGCTTTTCTAAATTTTAGGCTTCCTTTAGTCATATCTGTTCCCCAACCTTCCTACCATGTCACCTAATTCCCGGAAAAGAGGCCTGAGGAAGCCAGTTAGACAATTATGAACTTAGTTTTCAGGCTTGGATTTAAGGCTGTTTTATCTGCTACATGAATTATACTGAGAGTGTCCTCCTGAGCCAGAATTTAAATGTGCTCCGATTTAGGAATAAAGTAGGGTTCCGTATTTGTTTCCGCTTTCTGAAATTGGTTTAGTACAATTCTGCTAAATTTCCAGTGGACACAAGGGGGCAGACCTGCCGTTCCTTCTGCCTGAGGGTTGCCAGGTTACTAACTCTGCCAGCCTGTGTTTCTTGTGGACTTTTTACCCCAGAGCTCAAGAAAGAGAATGACAGCGCTCCTCTTAGAAATCTTGCAGCTCTGTGTCCTGTTGTTCTAAGCCTGCACTGGAGTTGCCTAGCCTTCACCAGGAACAAAGGGACCCATTCCTTGGGATAAGTATAAAAATGACTCTCTATTTCAGGCGTAGAGAAGGAGACATGGCAGAAGACGGAGAAAGAAGACTCAGCTGGGCTTGTGAGTTCCCAAACATGGAGGGTGGGGGTGGCTTATGTTTCTCTTGGGTTTGTTTAGAGCACACACTAATTTGATTAAGTAATTCTAGTTATTATTAGGTGATGTGGAGAAGAAGAAATGTCTGGTGGGCCAGATGGCTCAGCAGGGAAAGTGCTTGCTGCCTAAGCCTGACCACCCACATAAAGGCGGAAGGAGAGAATGGACTCCACAGAGTTGACCTTTGACCTCTGTATGCACGCCATGGTGTACATGTTCACACTCACAGTTTCTTTATCTGAAGATCTTAATATTCACGCATAATGTTCTTTACAACAATCACTAGCCCCGTGTGTCTAGGGCAACTTGAACTATTATTAGTCTGAATCAAGATGCCTTATATAATATAAATACAGGCAACCTTTGAAGGCTAAGTATACAAAAAGAGAGGATTAGTAAATGTCTCAGTGATTTCTTATATTGACTCCTAATAAGATAACAATTGGGGTATGTTAAATGTGCTACTAAAATCAAAACTGGAATGGTAACTCACACCTTATTAAAATCCTGGTACTTGGGAGGCTGAGGTAGGAAGATGGCCCCAAATTCAAGACCATCCTAGATTACACAGCAAGTATATTGATTACTTTTCCATTGCTGTGATAAAACCCCATGAACAAGGCAACTGGTACAAGAAAAGGTTTATTTGGGGCTTACATTTCTAGAGTCCAAAATTTAGTGGCTAAAATAAGAAACATTTATTACTTCATTGTTCCTGTCCTTTGTGGGGACAGGGTGCCAGGGCCCCTGATTCAAGGCCTTTCTTGACTAAATTATTGACCAGAGCGGATCTTTGTGCTTGCTTGAAGGTGGATTTGCTTCCAATCTTACCTTGTTATTGGTGGACACATCAGTTCTTTGCATCATGGGTCTTTCCTCAGAACATCCCAGGGTATAGGAGCAGAGACTCTGTGGCCAACTTGTCACCATGGCAACTCTTTTAAAGGACGACATTTAACTGGTGACTCGCTTACGGTTTCAGAGGTTTAGTCTGTTATCATTATGGGAGAGGCATGGCAGTACGCAGGCAGGCATGGTACCGGAGAAGGAGCTGAGAGTTCCACATCCTGCAGGCAGCAGGAAGTGAACTGTTTCACTGGACGTGGCTTGAGTATATACAAAATCCCCACAGTGACACACTTCCTTCAACAAGGCCACACCTCCTAATAGTGCTACTCCCTATCAGGTTATGGGGGCCAATACAGTCAAACCACCACAGTGACCTTTGCCATATCTGGGTGGTGATTGAGAGCAGCCATCATCTAAAATGAAATTATACAAGAGAGGTATGGGGATTTGGGGGGGAACCTGGTAGAGGTTACCCAAGTGTCCTCTGGTTAAACTCCACTCCCCAAGAGCTTCTGGAGAATGTGCACTGCTGGGTGGTGGCATTGGAATTTCTCTTTTCTGTAACCAAAGATAAATTTCTAAGTTGGGTCCAAGGCTAAGGTCTATAAAGACGTATGCTAAAATTATATACATGTTTTTGAGCATTTGGAGAAAGTAGGAGGCCACAATGACCCAGAAAGTTTTAAAGCCACTGGTTGACGTTGCCATTAGGTTTTCTGTTTAGTCTTTGTTTAAACAAGATGCCAGGAAACAGACTGATTACCAGTCAGTAACTTCTCAGTTGTGTGTGCTCACTCACACTTGGAGGTTGAGATGGTGTCCAGGGTCACTTTGGCTGGCATTTTGGTTGTTAGGTCACACATACACAAAAACTTCACTTTCCTAGGTGGAAATTGCTTCTTTAAAAAAAAAAAAAAAAAAAAAAAAAAAAAAAGCTTTGGGAACAGCAAAATACCAACCATATCTGTCTCTTTAGAACTGTGGGCTATCCTGGTACACCAGGCGCCCAACGGCTGCAGATTTAGTTGCAAAAATGAACTGCTCGTTGTTTTATGTTGTATCTGGTCTCTTTGTATAAGGGTTAATATGTATGTGAACTTGAGGTCATCACTGCAGCTCAGGTTCTTGGTGATCCTGAACTGGAAGGATGAAGGTCAAAGGTCAGATAGATTTGCCACATCTGCCTGTTGGCATGGAAGTCAGTAATACATGTTAGCATCATTGCTAAAATGGTTAAATGGAGACATACAAGCATCCATATGTGAGTGGAAGGATTCTCACTGTTCTTGAGAAATTATTTGCCTAGGACACATCCCCAGAAAATACCAGAAAACTGAGGTATTCTCTTCTGCCTAGGATTCTCTTCCTCCATAAGCCGATCCCAGTAGTCACTAGGGCCTCTTCCTGTAGTTAGTCCTGAAACTAGATTGTCTGCTTGAAGCTACTCCCTTCTCCTGCTTCTTCTGCCAGCACACCTCTAAAGGGTTTGATCTGCTTTGTGCCGAGGAAGCTGTTGAGGGATATTCATGGGTAAGCTGAGGGAAACTGACTGTGTTAAATGCAACCCCTGTCCTGCAGGGACCGCTGGAGTCCTCTTCAGAAAAGGCCCCCGTGTCTGTGGCCTGTGGAGGTGAGAGCCCCCTGGATGGGATCTGCCTCAGCGAAGCGGACAAGACTGCTGTGCTCACTTTGATCAGAGAGGAGGTAAAGTTGTTTATCTGCAGAGGTCCCGTCTCTGCTGGCTCATCTCACCGTAGCCTGCAGCTTTCTGTTCATGGTAGCCCCTATGGCTCACATAAAGGGGTTCCTGTAGACTTGGACATTAGCGCTGGTCTTCAGTGAGCTGATACACAGAGGTATCAGTGGGACTTTGTGTACGCTGAGGTGTGCTACTACCACGTAGTAGTAGATCAGGGGAAAGCTGCGTCTGGTCAGTTGAAGCATACAGGGTAGCCCCTGGGCTTTTTTTTTATTTTAGATGTATGACAGAGGAGCACCTAATCCCTCAAGCTGGATTTACTGGGAACTGAACTCGGGTCCTTTGAAACAGCAGCCAGGGATCTTAACCTCTGAGCCATCCCTCCAGTCCCATTTCTATATTCTTTTTTTTTTTTTTTTTTTTTTTTGGTATATGCTCATTGGTGTTTTGCTTGTACGTATGTCTGTGTGAGAGTGTCAGATCCCCTGGAACTGGAGTTACAGACAGGTGTGAGCTGCCATATGGGTGCTGGGAATTGAAACTGGGTCCTCTGGAAGAGCATCCAGTGCTCTTCCCCCACTGAACCATATCTCCAACCCCTCATTTCTATATTCTTAAGATTCTTTATATAAGCACAAAACAGAAGATGTACAGGAACAGTTAGCAGGAAGAGGGACCCTAAGGAGTGTAGGGAAAGGAGGGTGCTGGATGACCATTGGACCCCTGTTATGAGCTGCACCCTGAGCCCCTTCATCCTGACTCAGTTCTTATGGTGCTGAGACATCACTACGGGAAGGGATGTGCATCTTTCCCAGTGTGGTGATGCACTAATCCCAGCACGTGGTTGGCTAAGGCAGGAGGATCACAAGTTCAAAACTGAACGTGGATACATTGTCTCTCAAAATAAAGACACAAAAATGTAGAGGAGTTGCAAGTATGGCTTAAATGTGAGGGTGCTGTCCTGTCCCCTCACTTGGTGGTGGCTGTGTCACAGCACCCTGTGCAGTTGACAATGTACTTTCCCAGATGTTTATGAACGTTATATAACAGCAGTGAGATGTACTATATTCCTAAATGTTAGTCGAATATCTTGTGTCAGACTTGGTCATGCATTATTTTTCAGTTTCCAATAGATAGATGAAGTAAAACAAAGCTCTGTTATAATCTAGATAATCACTAAAGAGATTGAAGCAAATGAATGGAAGAAGAAATACGAAGAGACCCGAGAGGAAGTCTTGGAGATGAGGTTAGACCGGCACTGGGGTGGGCTTGGCTGCTGCCTTTGTACTTTGCTGGTTTAGTCAGCAGTGTGTTCTTGTCACAAAAGCAATGGCTGACAATGTGAGGACTTTGAGCAATCTGAGATTAAGAAGTCAGTACCGTCTGACCGTCTGGGCATGGCGGTGCTCACCTTTAGTCCTAGCACTCTAGAGATCAAGGCAGAGCTAGGTGATGTCTGAGTTTGAGGCCAGCCTGGCCTACTTACCAAGTTCTAGGATAGCCAGGGTGACATAGGAAGGTACTGTCTTAAAAAAGGAAGGAAAGAAGTCAGAGCTAGTAGTGACTAGTTATTTTTTCAAATGCCTTAGCTTCTGTGGGCTATTTACAATACCACGTGCAACCAGAACTCATATAATTCTTGCCTTTTAAAAAGAATGACAGAAATCTATTTAAAAATACCCATTTGCACCTTTAATCTCAGCACTCAGGAGGCAGAGGCACTCTGAGTTCGAGGTCAGCCTGGTCTACAGAGCAAGTTCTAGGACAGGCTCCAAAACAATACAGAGAAACTCTGTCTCCAAAAACAAAAAACAAACAAACAAACAATAAAAAGTAATAAAATTTATTGATATATTCAATGATGGAGGTATTGAAATTAGTAAAAGCAAATTTAGTGGGCTTTGAATAAAAGTCTTTAGCCATGGTGGTAGTGATGGTGAGGGCTTTCAACTTCCTGTAATCCCAGCACCTGTATAGAGACTGGAGCACGAGAACAGCCACAGGTTTGAGGCCAGCCTGGGGCCCATAACAAGTTCATGGCAGTCAGCTACACTTTTATCCCAGAGATTTGTGCCCCTCCCCCACTCCCAAAGAAATCTCCTTTTCTTTTTCTTGTCCAGTCTAGAAATTTGAGTCATTACGTTACTGAAGATAACCTCAAAGAAAGAAAGCATGAACCTCACCAGCGAGCATTGGAGTGCTGACCAGATATTTTAAACATGACGACTGTAATTTGTCCTCCCATATTATTTGGTATGGGAGGATTTCCTGGTTCAAGGCCCAGTGCTGGGCTTGGAACAGCCCCACCATTAGTGAGCTTACAGTAGCCACCATAAGGACCTCGGATGCAGACACCAGCTTGGTGGACACACCAGTAAGGGAAGATCTCCAGGCACTGGGCAGTTCAGACTAACCACACTTCACTGAGTGAAAGGCCAGCTCAAGGGCATGGTCTTCAGGATCTCCAAATAAGTGAAATACTTGTGGAGAAGGACACAAGATAAAACTTGTAGCCGAATCAGAGGAGAACGATGCTTAGGAAGGTAGATAAGCCTGGAAAGACTGAAGTCAGAGTGGATCTCAGAGAAGCTCCGAACAGCGCCTTTAATTTAAACAGATTGTCTCACAATGTTTAAATGGGAAAATGAAACACTAAAAGGCATATGTCCTAGCTGGCTTTCTGTTGCTGTGAAAAACACCATGGCTGAAAGCAGCTTGGGAGAGGGAAGGGTTTCAGTTTATACTTGCAGGCCATGGTCATCGTCAAGGTAGAGTGAGGGCAGGAACTGAGGCAGGAACCATGGAGGGATGCCCCTTACTGACTTGCTCAACTAGCTTTTTTATAGAACCAGACTTCCTGCTGAGGGATGACGGGTGCCGTCAGTCAGGAGAGTCACTGAAGAGGGCACGGGGCCAGTGTGATCAGGACACTTCTTCAGTTGAGTCTCTCTCATGCCAGGTAACTCTGGTTGTATCAAGCTGACAGTAAGAAATGACCAGGACAGCTTCTTCAATACAAGTTGTCAAAAGCTTCTGGTGTTCAGGGTACAGCCCAGTGGTAGAGCACATACTTAGCTTGTGCGAGACTAGGGCTCTGTCCTGGCACCCAGGACGTAAGCCTGTTTCTTCCCATTGCCTTTCTTCCTTTTTATCTTCTGCTAAGAACATTTAACCCTTCAGACCTCTAGTAAGCCTTATATCTATAAGAAAAAACAAAGAAGGGAGGCAGAGTAAAGACGTGGTTTATATATGTGTTACTATATGTTCATGAATTCGTTTCAGGTAGTATTTCTATGACTTCCATTGCTTCTGATAGCAAAACAAGTTTTATAAATTACTTTTTTTTTCTTTTTAGGAAAATTGTGGCTGAATATGAAAAGACCATTGCCCAAATGATTGGTAAGGAGAAAGGTTTTCTTGTTTGTTTTGTTTTGTTTTTTTGAGCGTGGGCCATAGGACCTATCTGAGCCTATTCAGATTGTCATAACAACAGACAAACACTTGTTTTTCCAGTTTTGAAATCTGTGGAGTCAAAGCCAAGGCTCTGGCAGATTCTGTGTCTGAAAGGGCACATTCCCCATGGTGCCTTCCCACTTGGTCATTACATCATTCCTGAAGGAGATAGCTAGCTTTCTGAAGCCTTATTCATTTATTTTTAAAGCTAAATTGATTTTTGTGTGTGCATGTGCGTGTGTGTTTACGTGTGTGTGTGCGCGCGCACGCGTGCACGCGTGCACGCGTGCAGAGCACCTACACCTTCATGAGTTTATGTGCTGCAGGTGCCCATGGATACCACAAGAGGATTTCAGATCATCTGGAACTGGAGTTAGAGGTGGTTATGGGTTGCCTAATGTAGGTAGTAAGAACTGAACCTGGGTACTCCACAAAAGCAATACACACTTTCCAGACCTTCTCTGGTTTTTTAAAAGTGACATATCGTAATTATGCATATTATACATGAATACAGTGGCCAATGATTAAGCTATTATAGCTAGCATTTCTATTTCCATAAACATTTGTCACTTCAGGCTAGGTGCATAGTATTCTCCACTCCCAGGAGGCAGAGGCAGGCAGATCTCTGTGAGTTCAAGGCCAGTCTGGTCTACATAGCAAGTTCCAGGCCAGCCAGGAGTACATAGAGAGACCTGTCTTAAAAAAGAAAACACACACACACACACATTTATCATTTCTTGGGGAACATTCAAATTCCTATGTAGTTTCTAATTCTTTATAAAGTATATACCAAATTCTTGTAGGTGAAAGTCATCCTACTATATTATAGAACACTAGAACTTGCATTCTGGTACTCATTACCCAGCCTTCCTCTGTTCATCTCCAGCTCATGTAGTATTTGTCTTCCGTGTCTGGCTTACGTCATTTAATACAGTATTCACTGGCCTGGGCTCTCTATAGGTACTGATTCTGTTTGTTCTCATACCTTGTTTCTATATATTTTCTCACCCCTGTGACCAAAACGTGACTGTAAATGGCAGAGGAAGGGCTTATTTGTGATTTTAGAGAGTTCAGTCTATAGTCCCTGGGTCCCGCACGCTTGGACAGAACATTGTGTTGGTGACAGTATGTGACCAAGCAAGAATGGAGGAAAGGCAAGATAATGCCCTTCAGAGACACACCCTAGGGCAGCCTTGAACTCACTGTATAGCCCAGGCTGGCTTGGAACTCAGTGTTTTTTAGCTCAGTGTCCCAGTCCTGGCATGGCAGGTATGTGCCTGTGCACTTGATGAGTCCTTCATCTGATGGAATGTGTTCTCACTGCAAGTTCTGATTCCTTCCATCAGACCCAGCACAGAGACCGCTTACAGAGTAACAGTGACAATCGTCTGTGTTGAACTTACAGCCCCCTTTAGTTACCATTCTAAGGCTTGACTCTGACATGAATCTATTCTGAAAAGGTTTCTCTACTGTCCACACCACCAACTGCCTTTCCAGCCTAGCCTTGGCCCTGGCTGTCTGCTCTATGTGGCTCCCATCCCCAGTCCCTGCTGGGCACCTGCTCCAGTCTCTCCTGAGAGGCAGGCCAGTCTGTGACCACCGGCTCTGTCCCCACCTCAGGGAACACTTGTCACTGTGTGTCCACCCACTAGAATATGAGTTCTAACATTGTTTGGCTCATCCGGAGTTGGCCTTCACTTTGTCCCCTTTGACTTGTGGTTCTCAGAAGACGAGCAGAGGACCAGCATGACCTCTCAGAAGAGTTTCCAGCAGCTGACGATGGAGAAAGAGCAGGCCCTGGCTGACCTCAACTCTGTGGAAAGGTCCCTTTCTGATCTCTTCAGGAGATATGAAAACCTGAAAGGCGTGCTAGAAGGGTTCAAGAAGGTAGGGTGTCCTTCTGCCTCTGTCTCCTGGGTGGTGGTGTGGTTTCCTGTAATCACTCCTATCAGTGGTGGGCAGCCTTGTGTGGGAGACTAAGCCTTGCTGGCCTCTTGGTCATTGGCCTTCTGCTAATGTCAGAGTACAAGAGATCGTAGTTCACTGAACAAAGTCCAAGCTAGTAGTCTAGAAGAAATGAGTGGGATCAATCATTCAGTTGTGTACCATCAGAGGTATCATGGAATTCTTTTTCTTGGTAGGTCTAACACAGGGCCTTTTGTACATGAAGTGTTTTATAATCTTAATCTGAAGGAATGTGAGGCAGAAGAATTTCGAAACCTAACCCAGTCTAGGCTGTAAAGTGAGACCTGTCTTAGAAAACTAAATACTAAAAATAAATTAATAAGATGGCACTGGCCAATTATCTAATACAGGGCTTGAGAAAGAAGCTGCATTAGGAAGTTGAAGCCCTGTCTAGTGCTGCAAATTAGGACACGGAGAAACTCTACAGGCTTTCTTTAGTGGGGTTTGCACAAGCCAGTTGATGTTGCCATGGACTATGAATTAAACTCATCTCATTTGAGCAGGTTTACCTATATAAAACAAAACAAAAAACAACAGCAGCAATAAAAACCAACCTTTGTGCAAGAGATACAAAGAGACATACACATTTGTTTTGGATTTTCACTTTGGAATAGAATGAAGAAGCCTTGAAAAAATGTGCTCAGGATTACTTAGCTAGAGTCAAGCAAGAAGAGCAGCGATACCAGGCCCTGAAGATTCATGCTGAGGAAAAGCTGGACAAGTAAGAGCTTGTAAATGTGCTGTGCGCTTGGTTACTGTTGCAGGTGGAGGCAGACACTATTTTGTCTATGAAGTAACATACTTAATACCTTTTGCTATCTGCTTTCTTGTTTGCTTTTTTATCTACAAAGTAACACATCGCACCTTTTCGTATCTGCATTCTTGCTTGCAGCTTCAGAGTACATGCCTGGGTGTGTGTGATTTTATTTCTCTGCATGGTTAAAACATTTGTGAATATTAAAAAAAAAAAAAAGGTGTTTAGTGTACACACAATATCCCTCTGTCACCTCTTAACTTTTAGCTCATTAGTGTTGGTATTCTGTGTTTTTCCTCAGACATACATGCTGACCCCCATGGTTTATCTTTCCATGCCCACAAGGACCTTCTCCCTGGCATTTCACAGTTGAGAAGGTCTCCATTTAGGCAGCCCCTCTTGCTGGACATTGTGGTTATTAAAGTCTTGTGGTGCAGAAGTTCTGTAGTGACTGCCCTTTAGTGCCTTCATGATAAAAGGCGAGGAGTTGGAGACCAGCAGACATATAATAATCATACGCACTGTCCAATTGTCCTCATTAGGCATACATCAACTTATCCCCTCGACGACCTACGGTAGTGTGTTTTCCCTGCCAATAGCTCCACTTTTAGTTTATCTTCAAATGTAATAGGCCAAAGTGTTAGCTTTTTGTGGGGTTTGGCAAGAAACACAGCATTTACTATATTCATAGCATTATACACATTCAGAGTAGTTTTATTTATCTTATATTTACCTTGGTAAAATTAAGTGTATTTCAACAATTATCCACTTAAACACCTTATTATGACTGACTGTTCTTCGCCTTTTCCTTTGTAACTTAACATGTGTCATATACTAGGGGCACTAGCTCTCACTGTAGTTGTGATTCATTTTCTGAGCTTACTATTGTGTGTGTGTGTGTGTGTGTGTGTGTGTGTGTGTGTGTGTGTGTGTGTGTGTGCTGGCCCTGTTTATGGGGCGGGCAGGGTTTCCTTTCTGTGTTTGTTTGTTAGGTGCTGGGATTGAACCCAGACTTGGCACATGCTGGACAGAGATCCTATCATGAAGCTTTGTAGTGTGTTCTGATGTACAGAAATATGTCAGGGTCTTCCTGTATAGTTCAGTCTGACCTTGAAGTTGCCTCAGCCAAGTTCTAGACTTCATGGCTTATGCCACCATGCCCTACTCAGGAAAAAAAAAAAAAAAAAAAAAAAAAAAAAAAAAAGAAAGAAAGAAAGAAAGAAAAGAAAAGAAAAGAAAACAAAAAAATCTTTGACTGTGGTAAGAGTGTCAGTCACTCCATTTGAGGTTCCTGAATCCCCTGTCACAGTGTTAAAAGTCTTCTCCATTGTAGGTAGAATATTTCCAGTTTTCCCTTCTCGTGCTTGCATGGCTTCCTTCTTTTCTTTCCCCGCAGTCCTGAAGTCCAATAACACATTTTAGAATTACCCCCCAGGGACAGGTATTTCCCTCCCTCCCTCTTTTTAAAAGATGAACCGGGCATTGGTGGTGCATGCCTTTAATCCCAGCACTTTGGAGGGAGAGGCAGGCAGATCTCTGAGCTCGAGACCAACCTGGTCTATAGAGCAATTTCCAGGACAGTCACCAAAACAATACAAGAAACCCTGTTGCGGGAGGAGGTGGGATGAAATCTCATTGTGTATCCTTGACTGTCCTGGAACTCGATCTATAGACCAAGTGATCTCAAACTCACAGAGATCCACCTGTCTCTGCCTCTGCTAGGACTAAGGGGCATGTGCCACCATGGTCATCTCCCATCCTCGGTTTTTAACTACAAAGCAATATAGTGTAGTATGTGTTTTGTGATCTGTATTCCCATCTGTAACCATGGGAGTTTCTCTCCTTCCTACTCTTTTATGGCCTCTCACTAAGGATTTGTTGCATGTCCTTATGTTGTTTTTGTGCCCTTTTGATATATATTATCTCAAAATAGCCTACAGATTTCCCTTTTTAACTTAGTAGCATATTAGAGCCATTTACCAAGTCAGAACTCATAGCTCAGTCTAATTCCTTTATTAGGTGTCTGCTGGTTGAGAGCCACCATGTGGGTACCGGGAATGGAAGCTGGGTCCTCTGCCAGAACAGCCAGGGCTCTTAAGCATTGAGCCAGCTCTCCAGTGCCATAACACTCTTTACTGATGAACGTTTGAGTTGGTTCACACTCTCCCTATTGAAAATGCCTACATTAACAGAGTATTTCTGTGAGGTTAGCTAAAGATGGAATTGCTGTGTCATGAGGCGTGTATATTTGCTTTCCTCATTCCCACGCCATGACCCCATCTTTCCCATGGCATGTGATCCTGTCTTTCTTTGCCTTCTTAGGCCAAAACCATAAACTGTACTGTTTGACCATGAATACCCACTTAGCATGCACAAGAGCCTGGCTTCAGTCCCCCACACAAAAAGCTTATTGTTTTAATTTGCATGTCTTTTGTTGCTGGTGAGGTTTTAGTTTTAATCTTTTATCAATTAAATGGATGTTTATTAAGTGGCATGATGTCTTTCCTTGCATCTCATTGATGAAGACACCCCGGAGGGCTGTAACTCATAGACATCAGTACCTGTACTCTGTGTTTAGGTCAGCAGTGTTGACAGTGGAAAAGAAAACCAGGAAATACTACATATGAGAGCTGGTCAGCAAGGACAGTCTAATAAAAAAGTTAGAATGACGCAAATGCTTGAATATAGAGCTGCCTTTATACACCATTTAAGTGGAAGAGGACATTTGCTGAGTGATCATGTGCAGAGTAATCCAGCCCACCCTTGTACGAGATCCTTTAAAAGTTAGCATTGTTTAAAATAATAATAATAATAATAATAATAATAAGTCATACAACTTTTGAATATTACTAAAAATAAAAACCCAAAGATAGATACTGGGGTTCAAATTTCAAGCTGAAGATCAGAAAAGCAATGTAGCTGGCCACTAGCTCTTACCTCTACCTCAGGCTGAAAGGGTTGTCTTGTCCTCAAAGTAGCTAGAGAATAAATCTCACATGGGGCCCTTTAGTTCTTCTTTTATACCTCTCAAATCCTGGGATTAAAGGCTCATGATCCCAAGTGCTGAGATCACCTTTGTGTGAGCTGTTTCTCTTTAGGACTGGATCAGTTTTGTGTGGCCTTGAACTAACAGATCTGTATGCCTGTGTCTTCCGAGTCCTGGGATTAAGGGCATGTGCCACCACCCCTCTATGGTTTGCTAGTATGGCTGCTAAGATTAAAGGTGTGTATCACTGTTATCTGACCTCTGTGCTTGTGGCTAGCTTTGCTTTCTGACCCCTCAGGCAAGCTTTAATAAATCATAAATAATATATCACCACATTTGAAGGATATTGCAGTTTGATTCTGCTCAGGATGTACCATGGAAGTGTGCTTACACTTTCTGAGTTATCGTTTCTTGTTTGTTTGGTTTTTTTTTTTTTGTTTTGTTTTTGTTTTTTTCTCAGTTATTTCAACTCTGGGTTTTGTGGAAATCAGTAGTCAGTGCCCTGAGTCTGTCTGTTCCTTGTGGCTAACCATGTACTTATTTTTTCTGCAAACAAACCCAACACTCCATCACAGAGCCAACGAAGAGATTGCTCAGGTTCGCTCAAAGGCGAAGGCTGAGAGTGCTGCTCTCCACGCTGGACTCCGGAAAGAGCAGATGAAGGTGGAGTCTCTAGAAAGGGCCCTTCAGCAGAAGGTACGTCACGGAGGGCTTCTGCTAGATACAGAGACATTGGGCTGCTCTCCTCCTCTGTGGCTCATGTCAGTCCCTGGTGTACTTAGCTTGTCATGGACCTGGAGGAAAGTGACCTTGCCCTTTTTACACAGACACTCCAGGCCAGCTTCTTTATGAACGGGTTCAGAGGACATACATCATATTAACCAAGGCTAAGGGTAGCCATCAGCCACAGGCAGGGTCCAAGGGGGGGGGGGAGTTGTGTTTTAATTGGAGTTCAGAGGCTTGGACACTTAGGGTCACAAGGCTGCCATTTACCCCCTCTTCTTGTGCAGTACATCTTCCCTTCATTGCTATAGACCTAAAGATTTATTTCAGAGCAGATGTGCCCTCCAGGGACACTAGGCCATGTCTGGAGACTGACTTGACTGTTGTGATTGGGAGATGCTAGTAGCCCTGAAGTGGGTAAAGGCCAGAGATGCTGCCAAGCATCCTATAATGGACAGGATAGCCCAAATCAGCCCCAACATAATGGATGCTGAGATGCTGCCATACAGACAGTGTCACCACCAGGTTCGAGACTGGGTGCTTGCCATTGGACAAGCCAGTGAAGCATAAAGACAAGGTGCTGAGGTAACTAAGGCAATCTCATTTGGAAGTCAGCACAAGAGGGCAGAGAGCTCTTGCCGGAGCTGAGTTGGAGTGTTTTATTGAGTCAGGTGCTGAGGGTTCAGTCTGATGCCTGCCTCTCAGGCCAGCCTCGTTCTCGCACCTGCCCCTCTACCACTCCTACCCCTCTCTCACGCCTGTCTCTCACACCTGCCTCTCACACCTGCCTGACTGGGCTTGGTGGTGCACGCTTGATCCTAACCCTGCATCTCAGGATGCTTTTCCATTCTACAGATCACTTCCTTGGGGTATTTGTCAACACTTGCCCCCTTGGGGTTGCATATACCTCTGGGTGAGTTGGAAGGGCAGCTGCTCCAGCCCCTCTTGCTGATCCTTCCGGCTGTCAGGAGAGAGAACGCCTTAATGCTCGGTCTCCATGCCGCCTACTGTCCTCACTGCTCAGCAGTCCTCGCTGCTCAGCGGGTTCAGCCCTTCCCTTCTTCACTGTTTAACCTCCTGTGTCACCACGTGTGCAGTCATGCAGTGACACCCTTTGACTTACAGCTTGTGTCTGGTGGCCCTGACTCATTCAGACCCTGGAATCCCCGTCCCTGAAGCTGATGGTAGGTGAAGTGAGATCCGTGGCCTTGTGTTTTAGCAAGTGAGCTAAGGCTCAGGGGCCCGGCATCAACAGCTCAGTTCAGTGCCATACTGTGTGCGAGCACATTTTGATGGGTAGAAAGGAGGAGGCATTTGTCCTTCTGCCTCCCAAGACTGCGGTGCAGGGAAGTGCGGAGTTGCGCTAGGATGTCTAGGAATAGTCTAGCCACTGGCCTTTCTCTCAGAGCACAAAGCAGCCTGCATATCCTCTATCTTTCAGAATCAGGAAATTGAAGAACTGACAAAAATCTGTGACGAGCTGATCGCAAAGCTGGGAAAGACTGACTGAGGTTCCTCCTGTGAGCTGTGCAGGTCTGAGTCTGGCTGCTTGTGTCCTGACCACAGATATCTTGCCTTATCCAGAAATAATCCCCCCTTTGCAGAGAAAAAGAACTTTTACAAAAGCACATGCCTGCTGCTGCCTGTCCCCCTTCCTGCCGCAGCTGGAGCCTGGCCGGCGGGAAAGGAGTGATGCGACAGCCCAGCCCTGCTGGGCTGCATCGGTCCAGGCTGGGCCGCCAGGTCCGGTATGTGCTTCTCCATCTTCAGTTCATCTTGCTGTTAACTTTACTTCTCCCAACTCTGTGAAATTTCTAGTTTTGTGGCAACTGTATGGGATCATCTTCCCAGCACATATTTGATATTTTTATGACCCGGTTAATCTTTTAAATTTCAATATCAACAGTTTATCAAAGGAGACAGTTTGGCCTATTGCTCCTAACAGCTTATCAGTGAGACTCCGAGTTCCCTTTTATTTACAGACTTTTACTCATGCATGCACATCTATCTATACATGCTGCTCCCCCCTGCCCCCGGGGGAATTCAGATAAGAATTCCCAGGAAGGAGCATAGTTAGGTAAATCAATGTAGATCTTCTTTGGAAACAGAACCCTAGGTCTAAAAGCTAGTGTCAGACTTTGTAGGGGTTGACATTATAGCTCTTTGCTAGCGTGTTTCCTATACACAAAGCCCTGGGCTTGATCCCCAGAATTACAAAAACTGGATATTGTAGGGCACGCCTGTAATCCCAAAACTCCAGAAGTGGAGGCAGGAGGATCAGAAGCTCAGGGTCATCCTCAGCCTGGACTACATGAGCTCATGTTTCAGAAAAGGGGTGAGTGGAAGGACACATGGTAACATCTTAGCTGTCTTAGCTATCTGGAGGCCTGGGCGGAAAACCACTCAAACAGAGCTTAAGGACAGACAGCACAGCACTAGACAAAATAGACATTTTCTCAGAAATCACACAACCAAACTAGAACTTGAGTCAGGGTGGGGAGATTGGGGATAGGGAGGTCAGGGATGTAGGTTTGATGTTCAAGAAAGCCTTGGCAGTGCTGTCTGGTGCCCCAGTATTTGGGCCCTTGTGGCCCTTTGTGCTTGTACTGAAAGTAGCCTTTGCCATCTCCTCTGACAGCAGTGTGGGCCTCCCTCGGAGCTGGTATTTGATGGATGTGTCGCCTGGGGGCAGTTAGTCTCAAAGGAAATTAGCTGTTGTCTATTTCAAATACACCCAAAAGGGACTTGGGAAAGGGTCAGCTGATCTTGTTAAAACATACAGGGTGCCTAAGGACCAGTTAGAGGGTGAAGGACTGTGGTTTTCTGTGTTTACAAGCACGGCACACTTCAGAGACTTAAAAACAACAACACATGTTTTGAACAAAACAGGCAGTAAGCAGTCATGTGACTCATCCCCCATATGTCAGCATGATTGCTGGGGAGGGCGGTGCAGGGACAAAGAAGGTCCACACAGACAAAATGAAATTCTGTGAACTCATACTGGGCGACATTAACCCCCAAGTAGAAATCCCCCATGTTGATGCCAGTAAATTCCTTCCCATTTGATCGGCAACACCAAATTAATTCAAGTTTTTGTTTGTTTGTTTTTTGGTTTTAAGAGACAGGGTTTCTCTGTAGCTTTGGAGCCTGTCATGGAACTCACTCTGTAGACCAGGCTGGCCTTGAACTCACAGAGATCCTCCTGCCTCTGCCTCCCGAGTGCTGGGACTAAAGGCGTGTGCCACCACCGCCCAGCTTCATTCAAGTTTTAATGCATTTTGGCCTTACTTTTCTACCCTGAGTCATCATGGTAATTATGCAGTATTGAGTACACACGTGTTTTCCTCCTTGTAAAAATATTGCATGCCCCATCTTCAGAAATGGATTGTGCCTCATAGAGAAACTCTGTAGATCTTAGCAACAGCGTTCCTTTAGCTGCGTGTCGCCAAGTGGCACAAGCTTTAGCTCCAGGCAGTGAGTAATGTCTTTTCAAGCTAGAAATCACATTTTGTCAATATGCATTTATTATAATTGGTGCTTAGGTTAGGCTGTATTTTGAGGCCTACTGTCTTAAGACTTTGTACAAAAACACAAACAGTTATCTGTGGTTGGAGAAATGGCTTGACAATCATTTGGACTCTGAATTTAGTCACAGTGGCTTAACGTGAAAGTTGTAGCTGTAGACATACTGTCAGGTTCAAGTGTCTTCAGGGGACATAACCAGCATCAGCTTAGCGCTCTTCCACAAGGGAAGTTAATTTTGCATTTTAAGAAACACTGCAGATGTTTCTGCTACAGTATCATGGTGGTATCCATGTGTGTGTTTTGTATTGACTTCAGTATGAAAGGCTTAGAGTGGGCCCCATCATAAAACTACAGTCCTTTTTTTTTGGGGGGGGTAGTACTGGGACTTATACCCAGGGTCTTGGACATGCTAGGCAGGTCCTTCACTGTGGAGCTACATCTCTGGCCCCAGTCATCTTTTAAGCTTGTATATTTTTAAAGCATCCTATGCTCTATGTTACAAAGCATAGAAGAGGCATGCGTGGTGACCGTCCTTCCCTGCCTCACTGGGGGAAGAGACCCCTTGAAAAAGAAGCCCTGCAAAAGGAAGTTGCTGTACACATGTACCAAGGACATGAAATAAGTCCTTTAAGCGATGTTTGCCAGTGGCCTCTTAGTCATCACCATTGCCAGGAAGTGTCCACAACTTCTAGCTTATGGATGCTCTCCAACAAGGATAAAAATGTAGCTTGCACAGCTGGCAAATTAAGAAAATGCAATAGGCAGAGTTAAGTATTTATTTGTCTTTTAATTAAAATGAGCCCTAAAAAGCTCCTAGCACTCTAGAGAGTCAAAATATAAAGTTTCCTTTAACACATGCTAGGGGCCAAATACTTGTTTGTTATACAGTTAAAAGGGGGACCAGCCATGGTGGCACACACCAGTCATCCTGGAGGCAGAGGCAGGGACCAAAAGTCAGGCCTGACTGGGCTATACAGTGAGACCCTGTCTTCAAAGTCCTAAGAGCTGGAGGTGCGACTCAGTAGTAATGCTCCTAGTGAGTGCTTACTCACCATGTACAAGGCATTGGTGTCAATCCCAAGCATTGTGAAAATAAAGAACAAAACAACCTAAAACCCAAGGGAAATGGAAAGTGGTTTGGGAACATTAGGTGGTCTTGTTGAGACTCTTGGCACAGACCCATTTCTTTAGTTCTATTTTGTCAAAGTGTAGACACCAGCCCCCCAACATCCCCCACTCCCCACCCCTGGCAGTATCCCAGACCAGTTCACAGTGTGATTCCTTTCTTTGGAGACTGGTAACTTCCCTAAATTCTGCATGCTCTGTGCTTGGTGCTCTAGTGTGGATTCAGGCATCCTCAGAACCAGACCAAATTAGGAAGTACACCGTGAGGGGCTCTGCTCTGGCGGGAGATCCCTGTTGATAGGATTATAGTTCAAGCCAAACTTTCCAGCCAGCGCCCCCTTTCTCCCCAGGCAGACTGGGCACTCTGCTTGTGTCCAGATGCTCCTCCTCTGGGCAGTCCCAGATCAACCACAGTAGACAGACGCCCTCCCTTCCAGCAAAGATAGCTCAGGCTAGAAAGGGCCGCTCTGCAGCTCCTAGGCATGGGGAACTGTGACAAAGTTCAGGGCTGGCTGAAGGGAAATCGGTTAGAACCTCCTGCAGCTCACGTCCTACAGGAGTTCCTTAATCTCCATTTCAGTTGGTGATTTTAGGAATCAGCCCTCCTGTTGTCCTTTGTAAATCTGTGACCCTCGGAGCTCTCTCTCAGGTTTTTCTTCCTCTTGGGAAGAGAGAATGTAGGTATTGAAAGAGTAAATGATTCAGGCAAGGAATTTAAAGATGTATATATTATGAAGACTTTGCAGAGTAGGAGATTATTTACTTACTAAAGAACAGATAAAGTCTGGGAATCCCATGACACCAAGCCAAAGGTCTAAGAAATCATCTTTCAAAAAAGTTTTAATAAGGAAGTTATTTAAAGGAAACTAACGTTCAAAAATGCTTGACTGGCCTCCAGATTCTATTTAAAAAAAAAAAAAAAAACAATTTGCCAAAGCTGGAGATGTAGCTCAGTTGGTGACACACTTGCTCAGCATGCTCAAGTCCCTAGATTTCATCCCCAGTGCCAGGGGAACAAAAAAGCATTTTACTACTAAATTCTTCAGGGTTCCATTGGATAGTCGAGGGAAGCAAATTACAGAAGGAGCACTTCTTCCTCTGTTGTGCTCTAAAACACAGTGCCCAGCACAGGCGAGCACTTGGCATTGCCGGCACTAAATACTGCACTCCTGGCAGTTTTCATGCAGATGCAGCCCCCTCTCTGCCTGTCAGCATGCAGTGAGGTCTGGACTAATAAGATTCCTGAGGGATGACTTCCTAACTGTACTATGGTTTCAGCTTTATGTAAACACATATATTCTGGTTATAGTTCCAATATGGAGTCACTGCTGCAATGCTGGTCTTAGGTAGTTTGTATGATGCTCTAACTGCTCAGAAGAGGCCAAGCATGAGCCTGCGGTATGGCCTGACCCTTCCCTGTATGAAGTCTTCAGTACCAACTGTCAAGATGCCACTCTATCGCTTGGTCTTTTCGTGGTATCTGAATATGCTCAACAAAAGTGCTTCCTCTTCCCGTAAGTAACGGACTATATTTGTGAATAATTTTCAAATTGACTCATATAAATTTTCTGAACTCTGGAACCATGTCCGATCCAGATACAGGGCAGTGTCTAGGTCATACCTGCAGCCTCAACTTCGGCCTTTGCAATCCTTGGGACAGGATTCGGGCATTCTGTGATGTCCCCAAGGCGGCAGTGAGCTTTCCAGTATCGCTGTTAGCGAGTCTGTTTGCCAGTAGATACCCACTGTACTAATGTGCCAAGTGTTCATTGCACATCTGCTCCCACTGTGTCCCCCGGTGCCCTGAGTGTGTGAGAACCCCCCTCACTGGGTGGGTGGGGGGTACACACTGCATTGACTCCTGTTGTATGGAATAATCATCCTCATAGATTTTATACACATAGTAATTTCCCTTTTTATATGTCAGGTAAATATTTGTAAAAGTTATACTCACACAAAAGAATTATTATGATAATTACTAATATATTTTTTCCATGTTTCATTGCCTGAATAAAAACTGTTTACCACTGTTAAATCTGGGGTGTGTTTTCCTGGTTGTCAGTCGTTTCATCCTTGAGTATTTATGGAAGCCTCTCGTGGGATCCATATTTCTGTCTAAAATTAGAAAAGATGACATTTTCCTACGCTCCCTTTCTGGGGCTTCATGCATTTCGTTGGGCATGTAATTGAAAACAAGACAGACTCTGGAGTTTGGAAACCACCATAACAGCATCTGTGCAAACAGAATTTTTGCTGAGTACTCCTCAGTGTCACTTAGAGACTAGTCCAGCCTGGCATTTCCAGTCCTCAGGAGCCAAGTTACTCCAAGCTTTCCGCCTTGCTGAAGGACCCCGGGTGAGCTGGAGCTGTGGAGAAAATAGCTGGTGCTCAATGTGTTTTCTAGGTTAGTACCAAGCCAGCCAGGGATGTTATACAGAGAAACCATGTCTCGAAAAATCAAAACAAAACAAAAACAAAAACAGGACACTTCCTTATTTGCTTACTGTAAGGTTCTACAGCCTGTGATGGTCCCGGTTTGGAGGACAGGGTACTTCCCACCAGTGTGTTCTGACTGCAGAAGACATCCTGCAGCAGAGCTTCATTTCTTAGCATTATTGGGGAGATAAATGAAAGACTATCCAAGATAAGACTCTCTTGATTACAATCAAAGTAGACAGGCAATAGTGGCACAGGCCTTTAACCCCAGCACTCACTCGGGAGTCAGAGGTAAGTAGATCTCTGTGAGTTCAAAGGCCAGCCTGGTCTACAAAGTTCCAGGGCATCCAGAGCTACATAGAAAAACTGTCTCAAACAAAGACAAGTTTTGCCTAGTATAAAGCTTTGGCATGGAAGGTTGAGGCGAAGCTTCTAGCTTTGCTTGGGGAAACAGGTTAGGTCCCTAATGCCTTCATTTAGATGAAGAATACTAGAAGGGAGGTATGACTTTACAAGTTTACCTTACAGAAGTGTTGCCTATGAGGCAAGACAGTCCTCTTTTTTTCTTGAGGCTGGCCTGGAACCTGTGACCTTGGCCTCTACCTCCTAAGTGTTGAATTATAGCCTCTTTTAAAGTTGTCACAAAACCTGATTGAGATGTGTTGGAATCCAGCAGATGTGCTGAAAGCCAGTGGGTCCATGTTGCCTTTGGCTCACATGATTTAGAATGGTGAGGTTGCTAGCCTATGTCGCAAGGGAAGAATCTGGCCTTAGATCCCAAACCCACATCCAAGTCTAAACTAGAGGCCCTGTTCTTTTTCTTTCTTTCTTTTTCTTTTTTTATTTTTACTTATGTGTATGGGTGTGTAGTGGTTTCAGTAACAATAGCCACCATAGGCTCATTTATTTGAATGCTTAGTCATTAGAGGGGCACTATTTGAAAGGATTAGAATGATTAGGAAGGATGTGTGGCCTTGTTGGAGGAAGTGTGTCACTGGGGGTGGGCTTTGATGCTTCAAAAGCCCCTGCCAAGACCAGAGTCTCTCTCTCTCTCTCTCTCTCTCTCTCTCTCTCTGCCTCTGGATCATGATGTATCTCTCAGCTACTGCTCCAGTGCCTGTCTGCCTGCCTCCATACTTGATAGTAATGGACTAAACCTCCGAAGTTCTAGGCAAGCCTCTGATTAGATGTCTTCTTATAATAGTTACCTTGATCATAGTGTCACAGTGACTATGAAAGACTGTGTTGTCTCCATGCATGCCTGTATAGCATATGTGTGCCTGGTGCCCCTGGAAATCAGAAGAGAGTGTTGAATCGCCTCAGACTGGTTACAGGTGGTTGTAGGTCACTGCTTAGGTGCTGGGAATTGAACCCGGGTCATCTGGGAAAGCAGTCAGGTGTCTTAGACACTGACCATAATCTCTAGCCCCAGGCTGACTTACCTTGGATCTTTCTTGGTTTTGTACTAGAAGTAGGGTTATATTCACCTCAGTTCTCTGTCAAGAAGCCAGTGTCATTCCAACCAACTGTACCAACATTACTATGATTCCAGCAGACACTGTTTCCATGAGAGATGCCCCTGAAGGGAGGGCCAAGCTACATTTCCCACCCCAGATGTATTGAGTTCTTAAGATGAGTATACAGCTATCTCTTTGTTTCCTAAGGACCCTATTCACCACCTGCTGACTCACTGAAAGGAGGGGCAGTGTGAATTCTTGGTATCCTGCTATCTCAGGGCCAGTGGTTAGCAAATTCTGCCCAGCATTCCAGTTATTTGGGCTTCACTTCATTTCTTTTCTAGTTAAGTCTTTCAACGCATGCAGGCAGAGGCATAATACTTTGATGAAGGTTTAACACCCAGACAGCCTCCTACTGTGATGCTCAATATGGAATGTGCCTTTCATTGAAAATGGCTGGCATTTCCATTTGTCTTGCATGAAATTTAGAGTTTCCCCAGGGACTGTTTTTGTTGTTGCTATTTTGTTTGTTTTTAACTTTGTGTGAATGAGGCAGGACATGACATTGTGCATGTTCAGAAGTTAAGTCTTGGGGATGAAGCTGAAATCCTTAGGCTTGGGAGCAAGTACCTTCACCTGCAGAGCCAGCCTTCCCATTAATTTTTCTCAAGTAACCAATCTTTTTTCCTTCATCCTCTTCTCTCTTTATTATTACTATTATATTTTCATGACAGGGTTTCTCTGTTTAGCAGCCCTGGATGTTCTGAAACTTGCTGTGTACACAAGGCTGGCCTCGAACTCTCACAGTGCTTCCTTCCTCTGCCTCTGCTTTCCTAGTGCTGGGATTAAAGACGTGCACCACCACGCCCAGCCTTAAAATAACCTACTTTCATCCAAAGCTGTGTAGAATGTTTCACATACAGCATCGGCTTCAGTGCAGATATGATGATGGCCACTGGGTGGCTTCACTCCCAAAGCTTTCAGACTGCAGCTCAAACCCCCCCCCCCAGTGTTTGAGACCACAAATGAAAAGCAAACAAGAGCAGCTGTGACCACTTGGCGTTCAAGCAAACAGGGTACTTGCTGTCCACAATTTGTATTGCGTTGCATGTGGATATGTGTACTAGGTTGTAATTGAAAAGGATTTTTAGATCTTTTTACTTTATGCATGTGTTTTGTTTGCCCCCCACCCGTGTGTGTGTGTGTGTGTGTGTGTGTGTGTGTGTGTGTGTGTGTGTGTGTGTGTGTGCGCGCGCGTGCGTGCTTGCATACTGTGTACATGCCTGTGGAGGTCAGAAGAGGCCAGTGGATCCTTGTATCTGGTGTTATGGAAGGTTGTGAGTCACCGTGTGGGAACTGGCAACCAAACACAGATCCTCTGTAAGAGTAACAATTGCCCTTAAGCACTGAGCCCACTCTCCAGCCTCAGGATTTCCATCTTTAAGCCCCCAAGTGGGAGGCCTGGGAAGTTTAAACCCAGTTTTAAAATGTTAAAAGCCCACAAAAAAGAAAAGCAAAGTCTTTCCTCCCTTATGCCTGCATACCAACTTCTTCCCTCCTGTGGCAGCAGAGGGCAGCACGCTTAGGCTCAGGGCCCTGTTTCTGTTCAGGGGCCATGGCTGAAAGAACCCTGACTCATGGCTGGAAGAATTCAGACTCCAGGCGGATGTCTGGTTGTTGGGAGTGCAGCTGGGGATAGAGTACATGACCGGCAAGGGCGGGGCCTGGGTTTCGTGCACAGCACCAGGAGGAATTAAAAATGAAACCCTTTTTAGAAGTAAGAATTCACCTGCATTCCAGGTTGTCATACAACTCTAAAGTACAAGTACCTATATAAGCAAAGGCCATCTTCTATGTACATCTTTCTACCTGTCAACTCCACCCTTCACAGGCATATGTTAGTTAAATGACTAAATGAGTTTGCCCCAGAATTACAAATGGGAGAAAACTGAAAGTTGAGCCCTAGGAGGACGCAAACTCAGGATGTGGCAGGCTCATGAAACCCTGTCCCACACAGGTGGAAAATAGAGGTCGGTGAGATGTGAGTCCATTGAAATATTTGTCGAGCCCGGCAGTGGTGGTGCATGCCTTTAATCCCAGCACTTGGGAAGCAGAGGCAGGAGGCTCTCTGTGAGTTCAAGACCAGCCTGGTCTACAACAGCTAGTTTCAGGACAGTCTCCAAAGCCACAGAGAAATCCTGTCATGAAAAACAAAACAAAAAAAAAAAAAAAAAAAAAAAAGAAAAGAAAGAAAGAGAAATATTTGTGGAAATAGCCATTAGCTTCTCCGAACACCTTAGAGAGGAGCTGTAAGGGTTCTCCAGACTTCTGTCATCAGCTCTGAACTTCCACCCCATACTGTCCCCTGCTGGTGTGGCCCTGCAGTCTTGTCACCACTGAACAGCCTTCAGAGCCAGCAGTCTTATGAAGGTGCTGGTTCTCTCTCTCTCTCTTTTCCCTTCCAGTTTCTTGCATTCGCCTCCTCCCTAACCCCCTCTTCCCTCTCCTCCCTTCCCCCTCTCCCCTCTTCTCTTTCCTCTTCCCTGTCCCTTCCCCCTCCCCCCCTCCCCTCTCCCTCCTCTTCCCATCCCCCTCCCCTTTCCCACTGCTCATTTTCCCCTTTTTCTTTTGCCACAGTAGGGCTGGCTCTACCTAGGAGTCTCTCTCACTCCCCTGCCACCCCAAACCCCTGCTGCTTTTCTCAGACAATCGTCCTGACTACAAAGACCATGAATCCTTCTGCTCTGTTTTAGCAACAGGAATGACTACAGTTAGAGCAAAGTGGGGTGAGCATCTCTTTCGCAACATTTATGTCTAATGACTGGAAATTAGAAAGGGACAATTCAATATGCAGTAGTTTGCATCAAATGACAGAAAGGTCTCTGTGTCACGTCTCTGCATGCTGCTTCTGTGTGGCCCTGAACCTGGCTCAGAGCAGGACTGGGGGAGGCTTACCTGGTGTCCTGTCAATTCTGCCAGTCCCTCTCCTCACTGTGACACCAGAAATGAGTCTAGCACCAGAATCTTGTTCTGTGTGAAACTATGTGTGTTAGACTGTGTGGAACATCATATGTTAGGATCTGTGTGTGTGCAACTATGTATGTTAGATATGTGTGTGAAGCTACATATGTTAGATGTAGAA